GGATTCCGAAGAGGCAGAGGAACTCGAGACCAAATTGCTAACTTGCGCTGGATTATGGAGAAAGCCAGAGAGTTCCAGAAAAATATCTACTTCTGCTTCATTGACTATGCAAAAGCCTTTGACTGTGTGGACCACAGCAAACTATGGCAAGTTCTTAAAGAAATGGGAGTGCCTGACCACCTTATCCATCTCCTGAGAAACCTATATGTGGGACAGGAAGCAACAGTTAGAACTGGTCATGGAACAACTGAGTGGTTCAAAATTGGGAAAGGAGTACGGCAAGGCTGTATATTGTCCCCCAGCTTATTTAACTTATATGCAGAATACATCATGCGGAAGGCTGGACTGGAAGAAACCCAAGCCGGAATTAAGATTGCCGGAAGAAATATCAACAACCTCCGATATGCAGATGATACTACTCTGATGGCAGAAAGTGAGGAGGAATTAAAGAACCTCTTAATGACGGTGAAAGAGGAGACTGCAAAAAACGGTCTGAAGCTCAACATCAAAAAAACTAAGATAATGGCCACTGGTCCCATCACCTCCTGGCAAATAGAAGGGGAAGATATGGAGGCAGTGACAGATTATACCTTCTTGGTCTCCATGATCACTGCAGATGGAGACAGCAGCCACAAAATTAAAAGACACTTGCTTTTTGGGAGGAAAGCGATGTCAAACTTAGACAGCATCTTAAAAAGCAGAGACATCACCTTGCCAACAAAGGTCCACATAGTCAAAGCTATGGTTTTTCCAGTAGCAATGTATGAAAGTGGGAGCTGGACCATAAAGAAGGTTGACTGCTGAAGAACTGATGCTTTTGAATTGTGGTGCTGGAGGAGACTCTTGAGAGGACAAGATGGTTGGACAGTGTCATCAAAGTGACCAACATGAATTTGACAAAACTCTGGGAGACAGTGGAAGACAGGAGGCGTCTCTGGTCCATGGGGTCACGAAGAGTTGGACACGACTTAACGACTAAACAACAACAAACTTCACTTTTTTAAAAAATGTAGTAACAACGATCATACTTCATTCTTAAAATGGTCACACAATCTTGCTGTTTTCCCTCAACTACCCTATACAGCCTGCCACTTCACACATTGTATCTGCTGAGAAACATTTTGAATTCTCGAAATAATAACTGACATTTTAAAAAATTGTATTACTTCTGGTAATTCTGAGCTAGGATCCAACATCCCCTACACCCATAACCATTTCAGCTGTTTTAGAGGGAGGGCAACGTTTGAAGGTGGGAAGGAAATTTATCGCAGCACAAAACTTCTTCCCGAGTGCAGCGGGTGCCATTCCCTCCCCCCGAGTCCTCTGCCACAGACAGTATCTGCAGAGTAGTACTATATTTGCCACTATGTTTGCCTCTGTGCCTGAGTGTAATGTGGAGTACACATGTAACAAGAGCAAACTGGTGGCACTCTTCGAAGAAGTGAGAAAACCGGAGCAGTGAGTAGCCACACTTAAGGCTATAAAGGAGAATGTGTTTGGCCACAGCATCAGGGAAGCTTTAAACTGAATTGGAGGGGGAGGGAAACACAAGGATAGAGTTAAAGACAGATGAAGATGACACACAATTAAGAGGAATGGACTAAATAGTTCTAATGAGGGTCAATAATAACATTAACATTAACAGTCATATTCATAAAAATGCACAGAGAAAAGCAGGTCACAAATCACACAATCTCCAGTGTCTATACACTAATGCCAGGAGTATGGAAGACAAACAAGAAGAACTGGAAATTGTAGTTCAGGAGGATAAATATGACCTGATGGGAATAACTGCAACTCCGATCGAGCCACTCTTCGACCTGGCAGGGAGGCTTGTCGTCCCGCCTCCTGCCAGGAGTGGCAAGCTGATCGCAAGCACCAGAGTGATAAGAAGTATCTTTTTTTTAATTATTGTTATTATTATTAATAAGTTACAATCCTCTAGTCACATAACAAAAAAGAAAAAAGTAATAATTACCTATAAATACAGTTACGGTTCCAATAATTTTCTTACTTATAGTATACAGTACTAATAAAATAGATTGATAGGAAGTATCACGGAGCCGGCGGCAGCGGCAGAATTCTGAGTGGATTTGTGCAGAGGTATTTGTACAGTATACGAATTCAAATACCCCCATCTCTAATCTTGATATTTGTTGAGAGGCAAATTCTGCCAAGTATGGCCCTTCCAAGAAGTTCCTGGCTTGTGTGGCTGATCATTTTATCCTACAAAAAGTGGAGAAAGAAACTAGAGGACTAGCTATCCTGGACTTGATTCTAACCAATAGAGATGACTTGGTGGAGGAAGTGGATGTAAGGGGAACTCTGGGCGAGAGTGACTAGAAGGGGGCTAATATTGCCCCTACCTTCAAAGAGGAACCTGGGAACTACAGACCAGTCAGTCTGATGTCAATTCCAGGGAAAATTCTGGAAGGGATTATAAAGTGGTCACTGTGCAAGCACCTTTCGTAGAAAACAATGCACTAATAAATAGAAGCCAACACAGATTTGTCAGGAACAAATCCTGCCAGACTAACCTGATCTCAGTTGTTGATTGAGTAACCTCCCTTATAGACTAAGAGAATGTGGTAGACATAGTGTATCTTGACTTCAGGAAAGCTTTTAACAAAGTGACCCATGATATTCTGATTAGCAAATTAACTAGGTATGGTCTGGATAGAACAACTATCAGGTAGATACACAGTTGGCTACAGAATTGTACTCAGAGGGTGATGATTAATGGCACTTTTTCAAACTGGGCGGAAGTAACAAGTAGGGTACCCCAGGGCTCACTACTGGGCCCAGTGCTCTTCAACATTTTAATAACCTTGATCAGGGGGTGCAATGAATGCTTATCAAATCTGCAGATGACACAAAATTGGGTAGAATAGCTAATATGCTGGAAGAAGAAACAACAATCAAAATGATCTTGATAGGTTGGAACCCTGGGCTGGAAACAACAGAATGAAATTCAGCAAGGATAAGTGCAAAGTATTACACCCAGGAAAAAGAAACAAAACACACAGTTATAAGATGGGAGATACGAGGCTTGCCAATACTACAAGTGAGAAAAAGACATTGGAATCATCATAGATCACAAACTGAATATAAGCCAACAGTGTGATGTGGCTACAAAACGACACAAATGCTATTTTAGGATGCATTAACAGAAGTATAGTCTCCAAATCCCATGACGTACTAGTTCTCCTCTATTGGACATTGTTTAGGCCTCATCTTGAGTTATGTGTCCAGTTCTGGACACCACACGTCAAGAAGGATGCTGGCAAATTGGAGCAAGTTCAGAGGAGGACAATATGGATGACCAGGGGGCTGGAAACCAAGCCTTATAAAGAAAGACTGAAAAAGCTGGGAATGATATGATAACATTTCATATACTTGAAAGGCTGTCATATAGAAGAGGGGCAAGATCTGTTCTTGATTAGAGTGCAGGACACGCAACAATAGGCTCAAGTTACAGGAAAACAGATTTTGACTAAATGTCAGGAAAAACTTCCTAACTGTTAGAGCAGTACAACATTGGAACCAATTACTTTAAGAGGTGGTGAGTGCTCCAACACTGGAGGCATTCAAGAGAAACTTAAGACAACCACCTGACAGATATCCTTCGATTTGTATTCCTGCATTGAGCAGGAGATTGGACTCGATGGCCTTATAGGCCCCTTCCAACGTCATGATTCTGTGATTCTCTGATATAAAACTGAGGCTTTGTCACCACAACCATGGCTTTAGGGGTTCAAGAGAGAAGTGGTGGTTTCTTCTGATGACTACCATTTCCCATCAGAAAGTCCCTATCAGAATATTGTGCCACCATCCTATATTGTTTCTCCGATGAATTTTGGGGGAGGAAGAAATGATGTGCCTCCCAAAGAGTTCACGGTGTGCTCACCTCCAAATCCTCTCCTTAACTTCAGAATCTTATGAGGAGTTGGTCTGTAGTGCTCATGAAATTCATAGGAAAAACTCCCTCATGAAAATATTTCAGCTGAGTCTTAATAAGGACTGTTCGCAAGCCATTAACTTTTATAAACTTTTCAATGAAATGAACCAAATTGTTGTTCATGTGATTTGGAATTTCTGGGAGTGGTAGAATGGCACCTGTACAAGTTAGAGATGCCAAACTCACTGTGAATCTTCAGCTGTCTCTCCTCCCCACCTCCTTTATGTTTGGATTTGGGACATCTAAGTTATAGCACCCCAAAGCAGGTTCCCCCAGGAAAGTGCTCTTTAGCAGCTGGCCATGAAGTGTATGAATTGACTATGTTGATAATAGTTTGCCATTTTCTTTCATTCTGGGCAGGCGTGTTTCTTCAAAGTGCCAAAAAAAAGAACCATGAAACAGCCTGATGTATGGACGTTTTTTGCTTTGTTGTTTGTTTCGTGTAGGTGTGACCATTTAGCAGATATTTGCAGATGGCAGCAGTCTCCATGGCATTCTTTCTCCCAGCTGTTTCTATTCTTCTAACCCAGTCCCCCTGAAAGCAGAGGTTGCTTGTCACCGAGTTTAATACCTATCCTACAGCCCTAAGCTTGCCTGTTACCCTCTGGTGCTGTGGAGGCTAGTGTTGAAATAAGACTGAATTGCCAATCTGGTCCACTGGTTTATGGGCAGTCATCTTCCCCTTTGTCTCAGGCACCAAATCTCTTCCCTCTGGTTTTAACTGAAGCTATAATAATTTTTTTTTCAGTAAATGGAGGAATTATGAAATCAAAAATAAAAACATTATGCCACAGTGGTGTATGACTGTAAGGTGCTATTAATGGAGAAGGGAGTCAATTATGACAAAGTCATTTTAGGAAGTGAAAGGAGAAGTTGTATATTAAACTTAGCTTTTTCTCCAAATATTCTTTCTTACAGGTAACATCATTGGCTCTGGCATCTTTATTTCACCAAAAGGAGTATTAGAGCACACGGGATCAGTGGGACTTGCTCTCATAATTTGGGTGCTTGGAGGAGGGATCTCAGCCCTTGGCTCCTTGTGTTATGCTGAGTTAGGCGTTACCATTCCTAAATCGGGCGGGGATTATTCCTACGTCACTGAGATTTTTGGTGAACTAGCTGGGTAAGTGCCATTTTAAAAATATAATAATGAAGTGCATTTATGTCATGTTTTTTGAGAATTAAAAACATTGCAGGTAGATATTTTACCTCATTAATCTTGAAAATATTCCTGCAAGGTAGATCTAATTGCTTCCCATTCTCCCAGATTTCTTCATTTGGAGGCGAAAGCATGCATGTTTTATAGAGAAGAACCATGCTCTCCCATAAAAGCTTTCTTGGCTTCTGACATCTTCAAAGGAAACTCTCAGACTTATACCCCTTACAGGCATGGCTAGTCAGGACACAAGAGGTGACCTTCTGACTTTCCAGTCTTAGGAATTCTCTTTAAAGGGTAGCTTTTTTTGTTTTTCATCCACCGGCAGGCAAAGACTGTTAATGATAGGACATTTTGGAACTGAGTAACTCATTTAGTCACACATCAGACTTGAGGGCCTGTATCTCTGGAGGTTTTTTTTTCTTACTTACCAAGCAGTGGTATAATTACAAGATGCGGGGGGGGGGAGATACCAAAGCACTGTAAGACCACCACCAGCCACAAAGCAAGAAAAACAGTAATTTCACAACTTTAAAAAGTTGACTTCTGAATATTTATTCTCTAATTTTTAAAATATGCTTTTAAATATTTTTTCATCAGCAATAGAAATGTTTTCATCTTACTTTGGCCAGGAAGGAGTTAAAAGGTTCTCCTCCTGAGAGTCATTTAATGTGGAACTGGCTGGCAGGGTCAAAGTTCAGATCTCCCTTCCCCCTTTCAACCTTGAAACTATGATCATGTTTAGAATGTTCCTGCTGATAAAAAAAGCCAGAAAGTCAGAATTTCCCACCTCTCAAATTACTTTTTTCAAAGTCAGTGTTACTACCCTCACAGCCACCTGATTTCTGCATTCCTTCCGATTTGTTGTTGTTGTTGTTAATAAGCAGCTGAGACTAACCCTTCTCCTTCAAAATGAGCAAGTTTGGTCTTTTAAGTGTATCTGATTTTTTAAAAAATCTACAGATAGAAAAGATCACTGGTGTGGGGGGGGCAGGAATAAAACAGTTTTACTTGTTAAAAAGCCATAACATGAAAACTGTTTGCCCAAACACCCCAAATTTGGCATAGAGCATTGTTGCACTCTCCTATAGCAATAGCAGAGCATACCTTGGTTTCACTTGCTCATCTACTTGGAGGGATGAAGGGTGTCTGTGCACAGTATCTCAGTTTATTTAGGAAGTGATGATCATTTCAACTTGGATACTTGTCTACTTTGATAAGGCTGCCTCTCCAGTTCTTAGACCAAGAGGCTTTCTCCTCATCTTGCCATCTTGGGCAAGACAAATACTTGCCTCATAGGGTTGTTGTGAAAATAACATTGGGGAGGAAGAAATTATGTAGTCTGCCCTTAACTCCCTGGAGTTATGCTAAAACATACCATAGCATGAAATAGGCTTTGGTGGCTTCTGATGGCTATTGTAGACTTTTTAAAATATCACAATTCTCAACCTTCTTTAAAACATAATTCCAAAAAACCCTTGAACCCTTCAAACCAGGGGTCCTGAACCCCTGGCCTGCGGACTGGTCCGGATCTGTGGCCTTGCCAGGACCAGGCCGCGGAGACAAATCTCCTGCCCCCCCCACATGCACAGATGCATGCATGCCCCCTCCCACACATGCATGTCCCCTTGCACAGTCCCTCCCATGAACGCACAGCCCCTCCTGCGCACACACAGCCCCTCCCACGCACATACAAACCCTTCCACGCATGCACTGCCCCTCCCATGACCCCTCCCACGCACGCATGGCACCCCCACCCCACATGGACACACACACACCGCCCCCCTACCTGTGGAGGCAAAATGGTTGGGGACCACTGCTTTAAACAATTGAGATGCATGGTTGAAAATGCATGTGCTGTGCCACTGAGGAGCATCTTCCAGCCCACACACAGTCAGGTACCTCATGCTCTTTCTACAATATTTGATTCAGTTCCATAATATTTTCTCTTGCCCAATTCTTATTCACATCAACAAGGCATAAGCAGCAGTTCTCGATGATATAAACTTCCAAACACATCATTTCACTTTTAGAGGTAAGCATATTAGTTTGATTTGTAACTGACTGAGCTAACAGGAGTGCCAGTCCTGGATTGCTGATGCAGTGTGTAACTGACTAGAGTGCAACTGCATACAGATAGGATTTTTGCCCTTATGTCAGGTCTGGCAGATAAAGAAGGTGAACGCATATATTTTAAAGGCACAACAAGACAGATTGTATTGAAGCATACCATATAATTTAATATGCTCAAAGGCAAAACCAAAGGAACTTTTCTCCCTCCAACACTTGCTAATTTCTGGAGCCAGGCAGAACATTTAAAGGAAGATGTACAAATACAAACATTTCCATATTGTTCCAAAAAATCCAGATTATGTTATGGAGGCATTGACTCCATCGTTTGACCAGCAGTAACTCAACCAGGAGATCATGGGACACAGTTTTTTTTCTTTATAGGGCTATTTATTATTGAGACAATACAAATAGATTGTGTATTTTGTTTTTTTAAGAGCCATACAGATTCTTTATCTGATTTCTATTTGATTTGTTTGATTTCTATACTGCCCATCTGGCAGCCAAGGCCACTCTGAGTGGTTTATAATGGCTAAACAGTAACAATAACATAATCACAGAACATGACATAAATAAATTATAAAAGTGTGAAACAAAACTGCCATAAAATACAAGAGACATAATAAAATACTGTACAATAAAATGAAATAATATGAAAAGCATGGCGAGAGATTATGTTGTTGGAAGCACTATTGCATCAGGATGTTATTTGATCTGGAAAGGCCTATCGAAATAACCAGATTTTTAGTAGTTTTTAAAAAGGGCCCAGTGAAGGAAGGAGCCAGGTGGACTCTGGGCAGGAGGCTATTCCAGAGCTGCGGAGCTACCGCCGAGAAGGCTCGATTTCTGGTGGTTGTTTTCTGGGCCTCTCTCGGGGTCAGGACTCTCAACCGCCCTGCCTGTGACAATCTTACTGGATGGGCAGACCTAACAAGAAGGAGGCTGTCTGCCAGATATCGAGGTCTGCCAGATAACTTTTTAGGGCTTTATAGGTTAATGCCATCATCTTGAATCTGGAATGGAAGCAAACAGGTAACCACTGCAAGGTAGCCAGGATGGTGGGAGTACAGTGGTGCCTCAGTTTACAAACTTAATCCGTATTGGAATGGTGTTCGTAAATTGAAGTGTTGAATCAGCATTTCCCATAGTAATGCAATGAAAACCGATTAATCCGTTCAGGCTGTTTTTTGTTCTTATGTTGAGGCGCCATTCTTAAGTCGAAACATTTGTTCCAATATGAACTAATGCAAAGCCGGTTAATCCGTCCTCTACCACTATTGGGAGAATTTTTTTAAAAAAACCTAAGATGAACTTAGGTTTTAAAAAAGGGCAGGAAAGAGGGAGGGATGGAACAATGGGGAAAAGAGGAAAGAAAGAAAGAAGGTCATCACTGGGGCACACAGACCCCCCC